AAATTGGAAACTACATCAAAAATACATGGTGTCCTTTGATGTTGAAAGCCTTTTTACAAACATCCCACTGCAAGAATCAATTGACTTAGCTGTGGAATACATCATCAAAAATAACAAAAAATGTAAAATCACAGAAAACGATTTGAAGAAACTGTTTTCTACGTCTGAAAATCACTTCTTATACAATGGAGAATTTTTTCAACAAATAGATGGAATTAGCATGGGCTCGCCACTTGCACCAATCTTAGCCAATTTGTTTTTGGGACATAACGAACAAATTTGGCTGAACCAAAGTGATTTGTTTTTTACACCAGATATGTTGATGACACTTTTTGTATTTTTGATAATGAAGAAGACGCCATGCATTTCTTTGATTTTTTAAATACGAGACATAAGAACATAAGATTTACAATGGAAAAGTAGAATGACAACTATATCAGCTTTCTTGACGTGCTGATTCAGAAACTTGAAAATGGAGACATTAAAAAGTCAACATACAGGAAACAAACATTTACTGGTCAGATGATGGGATATTTTAGTTTTTGCCCAGAAAGTTTTAAACTAATTTTAGACTAATTAATACTTTGTTGGACAGAATATATAAAATCAACAACACATGGAATGGAATACACGAGGACTTTAACAGCTTTAAAATCATTTTACTTAGGAATTATTACCCTGCAATACTAATACACAGGTTAATCAAACAATTTGTAGACAGAAAAAACAAAAATGTGGTTACAGATGAATCGTCATCCTTAGACAAAGTGTGTTATTTTAAACTTCCTTTTATTGGTCACACATCAAAATAACTAAGTAAAAACTAACACAACTAACAAATAAATATTGTAATGGTTTAAAAATCAATCTAGCGTTCAGCACCAGCAAAGTTGGAAGTTTTTTCAACAATAAAGATACTATACCAGGTGCTCTTAGATCCCATGTGGTATATGAATTCAGTTCTGGGGGCTGTAATGCCACCTACATTGGTGAAACGTCTCGCCACTTATCCATAAGGATCAAAGATCACCTGATATCTGATAAAAACTCACATTTATACAAACACTTAGCAAAAAATCATAAATGTAAATCTAATAGTAATAATGCTAATTCTATAATAATTTATCAGGCCAATAATGGATATCAACTAAAACTCAAAGAGGCCCTGCACATTAAATGGGAGAATCTATCTTTGAACAAGCAGGTACAACACTACAACATTGCACACTCGCCAAATACTTAAGCCAACTAATCCAACCATTACATTCCCTCAGAACATACTGTTCGTGACACATTCGCCTTTGTCAATACCATCAAAAATTGGAAACTACATCAAAAATACATGGTGTCCTTTGATGTTGAAAGCCTTTTTACAAACATCCCACTGCAAGAATCAATTGACTTAGCTGTGGAATACATAATCAAAAATAACAAAAAATGTAAAATCACAGAAAACGATTTGAAGAAACTGTTTTCTACGTCTGAAAATCACTTCTTATACAATGGAGAATTTTTTCAACAAATAGATGGAATTAGCATGGGCTCGCCACTTGCACCAATCTTAGCCAATTTGTTTTTGGGACATAACGAACAAATTTGGCTGAACCAAAGTGATTGCCCTAACATTGTTTTTTCACCAGATATGTTGATGACACTTTTTGTATTTTTGATAATGAATAAGACGCCATGCATTTCTTTGATTTTTTAAATACGAGACATAAGAACATAAGATTTACAATGGAAAAGGAGAATGACAACTATATCAGCTTTCTTGACGTGCTAATTCAGAAACTTGAAAATGGAGACATTAAAACGTCAACATACAGGAAACAAACATTTACTGGTCAGATGATGGGATATTTTAGTTTTTGCCCAGAAAGTTATAAACTAAGACTAATTAATACTTTGTTGGACAGAATATATAAAATCAACAACACATGGAATGGAATACACGAGAACTTTAACAGCTTTAAAAACATTTTACTTAGGATTTATTACCCTGCAAAACTAATAGACAGGTTAATCAAACAATTTGTAGACAGAAAAAACAAAAATGTGGTTACAGATGAATCGTCATCCTTAGACAAAGTGTGTTATTTTAGACTTCCTTTTATTGGTCACACATTAAAATAACTAAGGAAAAACTAACACAACTAACAAATAAATATTGTAATGGTTTAAAAATCAATCTAGCGTTCAGCACCAGCAAAGTAGGAAGTTTTTTCAACAATAAAGATACTATACCAGGTGCTCTTAGATCCAATGTGGTGTATAAATTCAGTTGTGGGGGCTGTAATGCCACCTACATTGGTGAAACGTCTCGCCACTTATCCATAAGGATCAAAGATCACCTGATATCTGATAAAAACTCACATATATACAAACACTTAACAAAAAATCATAAATGTAAATCTAATAGTAATAATGCTAATTCTATAATAATTTATCAGGCCAATAATGGATATCAACTAAAACTCAAAGAGGCCCTGCACATTAAATGGGAGAATCTATCTTTGAACAAGCAGGTACAACACTACAACATCAAAGATCACCTGATATCTGATAAAAACTCACATATATACAAACACTTAACAAAAAATCATAAATGTAAATCTAATAGTAATAATGCTAATTCTATAATAATTTATCAGGCCAATAATGGATATCAACTAAAACTCAAAGAGGCCCTGCACATTAAATGGGAGAATCTATCTTTGAACAAGCAGGTACAACACTACAACATTGCACTTCCCTGTTAATAAGGGTTTTTACCATTACCTCCAATAATGGTTTCTTCCATTTTTAATCTCAGCTTCATGAATATTAATCACATCATTGTCCACTTACACCAGAGCTATATCACACCACTTTCAATTCAATCTATTCTGCTGTATTCATTCTCCAAGTTCATCAATATTAATTGCGTAATTGATTAGAGATGGTCACACCACTAATTAATTCATTGTATATAAATGTATGTGGAATTCTATAGGTTTTAGTGTACTGAAGATGACTGTGAGATACAATTGAAACATGTCTAATACTTATTCATTAAAACCTTGGTTTATTGCTTGCAAATTTGTTATAAATTTGATTTTTCTCCGGTCGTATGGCTATATTATTCAAGATTTGAGTCAACATAGTGATGTGAGCAAAAATGATTGTAGAAGGTTTGAGAAACTTCTAAAGAAACTAATGAAAGCTAAAGCAGATCTGAACTTCCTAAATATATTTATATATATATTATATATATATATATAGGCCTATATATATATTCTTAATTAGTTTAGAGTACATCCCCTCAATTAGGCTAATTGTAGGAACCCCACACCCCCCCCCCCCCCCCCCCCCCTTTCACGTCGGAAATGTATAAAATAACTACGCATGATTTTGTACCCGGGCTAGGATTCAAGTAGACAAATATTGTCTTCCTGATAACTGTGAAATCAATGGCGAGTGGTCTACACTAGACTAGCTTTATGATGACCGATGCTGCACAATGCGTCACTATACAACATTCCCACTGTTTATTTTAACATGAAACAATTATTTATGAATGAAATATTCAAGGTTCTTGTATAGGTCCCTCTCCCCCCCCCCCCACCAAAAAAAAAAAAAAAAAAAAAAATACGCGTCCGCTAGGCCAAGCCTTACTTTCATTTAGAGAGTAGCAGCGCCAAGACGAGCTCTCTCAATCGTGGACAAAGTTGGCTGCCGACTTGGAACTGGAATAAAGAGTAAATAATTAAATTGATTCATACAGGCAATAATGTGCTAGAAAAATGAATATTTTACATAAATAAATATATATATATATATACTACTGTAATATATATAATACTAATATAATAAAATACTATTATTATTTGACCTTCAATTTAAAAAAAATTCTTTTGACTTGACTGGTAATCGGTTCCATAAGATCAGTCGTCTTCATGTGTGTATATGTAAGCAGAATTGAAATATTAAAAATGGGACACACTCTGATTTATGTGGAAATTATTGATTTTTTAAAAATAAAATTAAATTTTTACAGATGATTGGTTAATATTTGTTTGCACTACAGTCGTCAAACGTTGCAAAGCCAAATCCAGTAATTTACACATGTTTTAAAACTTGAGATACTATAATTAACAATATTGAAAAGTATATAAAATGATTAAATTGCATTTTATAAATAAGGGTCTGAAGTGCTCAAAAATGGTATCGAATATTCTCCAATAACCCACAAACTGAATCGAAAAGCCAATGATCCCCTTTCACCAGAGGGCCCCCATTTAATAGAGCACTATCTAAATGAACCAAGTCCGTCGCTATTTGAGAGATAACACAATTTCTCTATGTGGACCAACTACGATACACTTACTTCAATACCGAGTTCAGAAAAAACTTACCAATTATGGTAATTAATTGTGGTTCATATTTTTTTAAATATAAATTTTGGAGCTCTACTCCCTCATTTTCTTAAACATTCTGCTGAGCCTTTAATGTATGTTTTGAGTTATAGAGCTTAAACAATAAATTGAATAGACATAATTTTTAAAATTTTAGAATCAGAATTTATATAGCGTCCATCACAACCCGGATAATATGCAAGGCTCTGGCATTATTATTTTGCTGGTCAATGGATACTGAGTTAGCAAACCGGCGTATTTGTGCAACATTTCCTGCTCGATGGGGAGCATCCCTAGTCTTACTTTGTAGCAGTGGCGTATGAGACTTGAAATGGGGAAGCAAATGGGGGCCGATCAGGGGCGGATCCAGAAATGTCCAAAAGGGGGAGCCGGAAGGGGGGCCGAAAGTTGGGCCGATTGAGACAACACTGTCGTAGGGGGTCCGGGGCATGGCCCCGCGAAATTTTTGTGTTCTAGACGCCCGAACATAACATTTAAGGCATTCTGGGCTATCATTTTTTTCTTTTTCTCTCTTTTTTTCTTCTTTTTTTCTTTTTTTTACCTCCCAAAAGGGGGGGGGGCCGGGGCCGGGCCGCCCCCCCCCAAATCCGCCCCTGCCGATCACCACTAGATACGCAACTAGGCGAAAGTGAAAATGAGGCAAAATATTTTTTTGAAAAAGACTTAACAGAAGCTTAAGTATGGCTAATAGCATTCAAAAATATTTACACAGTGTTTTCTGGATTTTAGCACATCTCAATTTAATAGACGATCGTGGTGAGCATTCGGAATATTCAAAGCTGCTGCTAAGCGTGTCCAGAACACCTTCTGACCATCTGGATTTTCTGTCCATTCGATGTAGGTCTTCTTTCTCAAGATCTTCTGAAGCAATGTCGGCATATTTCTACTCGCCACATGCTCTAATATTACAACTACTAAAATGTCCTCGTGATGGTCAAACATACGTGTTCGGGCCATTTCCATTTCAAAGTAACACCATTCACTTTTAGCAAAGTTTTTGGTGACAACTATCAACATTTTGCGACTATATTTAATAGCATCAGAAATATTGTCAGCAATCGCTCCCCCAACTACAAAATCCCTGAAGTCAACGCAAAGACGAAATTTGAACTCGGGACCTTCCAGTATCGGTAGGGCTGACTTAAGTACCCAATCAACGTCTTTGCTGTTGTAGGAGACAAACGCGTCATATCGAACCTGTACGCCGTCAATTGGTGGCGGACCCTCGTTTTGTAACCTCTCGTATTGTTTTCTGAGAAGCCGCCGCTGATTCCAGTATCTATGAAGAAAAGGGTTTTGTTTCCTTATTTGAGATAATAAATTCATTATTTGAATTGCTTATATTTTAGGCAATATGTTTAAGTAAGTTATTAGCTTTAATTTGAAAATTAAAACAAACAAACGTTTGTCCTGATAATATCTTTCCAGTACAGAATCCTCAATTAATTAGTTGGTAATGTTTTTACATAGCAAAATGTCTATAAATCAGTCAATATCTAAATATTTCTGTATCATTTTTGAGAACATACGTAAAAGCTAGAGCATTGAATCCTTGGCAACCAT